TTGGATTTGTGGGTGCTGTGCGTGGCAATCCCTCTGTACCCCTGCCAGGGGGGTCATCCCTGAGGCATCACCCCTGGGGGTGGTCACCACCTGGGGCGGTCACCCAGGGAGGTGACCCTTGGGGACAGTGCCACCTGGGGTGAGTCACTGCCTGGGGGAACACCCGTGGGGATGTCACTGCCTGAGGGAGGGGTCATCCCTGAGGGTGTCACTCCTTCCTGCGGGGCATCACCTCTGAGGCGGGTGTCACTGTCGTGGGGTCATCGCTTGGGGTCACTCCAAGGGGGTTACTGACCAGGAGTCACACCTCTGGATCATCCCTTGGGTGGTCACTGGCTGGGAATTCATCCCAGGGGTGTCACTCCAAGGGGGTTACTGACCAGGGGTCACCCCTGTGGGATCATCCCTGGGGGGGTCATTGGCTAGGGGACATCCCTGGGTGGTCACTGCCTGGGGGTCATCCCTAGGGTGGTCACTGAGGTCACTGCCTGGGGACAACCTGGGTGGTCACTGCCTGGACATTCATCCCTGGGTGGTCACTGCCTGGGAGTCACCCTGGGTGGTCACTGTCACTGCCTGGACATTCATCCCTGGGTGGTCACTGCCTGGGGGTCACCCTGGGTGGTCACTGTCACTGCCTGGACATTCATCCCTGGGTGGTCACTGCCTGGGGGTCACCCTGGGTGGTCACTGTCACTGCCTGGGCATTCATCCCTGGGTGGTCACTGAGGTCACTGCCTGGGGGTCACCCTGGGTGGTCACTGTCACTGCCTGGGGGTCATCCCTAGGGTGGTCACTGAGGTCACTGCATGGGGGTCACCCCTCAGTGCCCACCAGGCGAGCTCCAACCATGGCACAGAGCCACGGGGTCACCCCAATGGTGCTTTTGTGCCCTCCCTCTGTCCCCCACGGGAGCCACCCCATCCCTGCGGCCGCCCGGGACCCCCAGACAGGACTCACGGGGGGAGAGGGGAACGGGGGATGGGGGGCGGGGGGCGGATGGAGACGAGACAAGAAAGAAAGAGGGAAGGAGCGAGGGGATGAGAGCCTGAAATGGGGGTGAAGGGGGGCCCCGCCTGGCTGGGGGAGCGGGGGTGTGGGGGAAGGGGGCGACTTCCCTGTGAAGGGGAGGGGGCAAAAAAAGGGGGGAGCAGGGAGAAAAAAAGAGTGAGGAGAAAACCCCGCAGCGGGGTCCTGAGGAGCGGAGCGGGGGCCGGGAAGCGGGGGCTGCGGCGGGCGGGGGCTGCGAGGGGGAAACGGCCCCCCCGGCCCCCCCCAGATACTGACCTGCGGCTCCCTCTGCTCAGGGGCAAAGTGATGGGTGGGAGGAACGCGGGCAAAGAGCTCATGGACACAGTGACTGCAAAACAGAACGGGGGGC